AGGTTCCTTATGCATCAATCATACGAAGCCTTATGTATGCTTAAGTATGTATGCGTCTGGATATTGCATACATAATTAGAGTATTAGATAGATATTAAAGAAATCTTGATATGAATCATTAGAAAGTAACCAAACGGGTTACACGGTATTTGCAAAAGGCAAAGAACTATATGCTCACATATAGGAAATTGAATCATTTAGAGATCATTGGGTATTTAGATTTTGATTTCACTTGATGCACTAATAGCAGACGATCTACTATGGGCTAAATCTATATGCTAATTGAAGGAGCTATATCATGGAAGAGTGTTAAGTAGACACTCATAGCTTCTTCTACTATGATAGTAAAATTTATCACATGTTATGAGGCATTCAATCATGGAATTTGACTAAAAAAATTTGTCATAGAGTTGTGAATTCTAGATAGAATTGAAAGACCACTAAAGTTATTTTGTGACAATAAATCAGTCATTATGTTTAATAATAATAATAATAAGAGCTTAACAAAGTCTAAACATATAGACATTAGGTTCTTAATTGTTAAGGAAAGAGTTCATAGTGGTCAGATGTCTATTGAGTATATTGGGACAAACTCTAAGGTAGTAGATCCACTTACTAAGGGAATACCACCAAAGGTCTTTCATAAGTATGTTGCTCATATGAGTATAATACCTCATGAGGATATGTATTTTTTAGTGAGAATTTATATTTTTATGCTCATATAGTTATAGACATACACTTTGACTATTTTGATGCATGAATAAAGTTTATGATTATTCTCACTTTGAATATGATTGTTTGATTCCATTCAGAATAAGGACTAAGTTGAAAATATACATGTCTGAGTCATACTTCATATAATTTTCATGTTACACATTTATACTTGATCTATATTGTTGATTATATCGATATACGTAATTATTGTAGATTTAGTCACATAAAAAAATGTGAACGAAAACACTTTTAATTTTATATTAGTATAATGATGGACGAGATTATTGGAGATGTATTTAGTAATGATAGCAAAAAAATTGAACTCATAAAGTCATAATGTACAATATCAAGTTGTCATATATATTTTGTTCAAGTGATAGATTGTTGGAATTAATCTCAATATAGATAATTATATATATAATTATATATTATCAGACTATCATTGATTAATGTCACTTAAAGTGATTCATTAGAGTTTAAGTATTTGAGATTATGACCTCTCTCATAAGTATGGGTATAAATATAAATATATATAAATACCATGTCTTATTTTAATTTTATGATGATTTAAAGTAGAAAAAAATATCAAGAGGTTAACCACCTCTTGTCTATAAATAGGGGGTCTTGTTCCTTGGGTCACACATCGTTAGTCACTCTTAGAGCATCCCATCTCTCTAAAGTAAGTCATTGGATGACTCCCCCACATTGATCCAAAAGGCCCTCGTATGGATTCATGTATGATTTCAATCCATTCTTATTATGTTTTGTCATTCTCTATCTACTTCAACACAAGATCATTTAGATCTAATAGAAACTGCACTACTGGTGGGAGAGTGGAGCAGCGGCACTTGAAATGGGCAAAATTTTCACGTGCTTGAGGGAAAAGAGTGGCCGTATGTTAAGCCAGCCCACTTCATGACTGGTTCCATAAAAAACATTTGATTTACTAAAAATTATTGATGAAAAAACTGAAGACAAATTCAAACTCGTTGACTCCTCTCTTGTCTATTGCCGTCTCTTGAATTGGAGCGGGAGAACGCTACCTCAGTTGGAACCGACTCCCTCAAGCCCATAGAATCTGCCAGTTTTGGCCGCATCGATAAGGGTGGTGGTTTACAGGGCCATATTTCCTCCGTCCTCAAGATTTTGGGTTCCAACGAGATGGAAGGCTCCTTGTTTACGCTGTTTCGTCGAACAATTTTAGTATACTCAGATTAGTTTGTATTATTACGCTGCAACGTATTTCCATATCACAAGAAGAGGTGGATTAACAGTTTAAGGAGAATAGATACACTGAAATAATGAAACACAACGGACCGTAATGGCTGTATAAAACCTATCTAAGAGAACGAGGAAATTGCAGTTTCGCAGACTACGTATAATGTTGACTTTCTTATTTCCTTTCAACGAAACTACTCTACGAAAAAAAATCAGTTTTAAATTTTTAATTGTGATTCAGAGTTCTTCGCTACGAGCTGGGCCATCAGTGCTACGTCTCTGACTGCCAGCTAATTTATCTACCGCCGTCTCGAATCCGCCACCTGCAAGCCTCTCCCAGCCTTCATTTTCCGTCGTAGCCCATGCGTGGGGGGGCAGATGCGGGGAATGTCAATATCCCCTCCTGAGCCGTCGTGAGAATGGAAGGCTGTCCGTGGTTTAAACCGCCTAGACAGAACGTCGTCCCCCGAACTGGCATCCTCACATCCTTGTTGCGGCGGCTATGACGTCATTATTAACTACACTCCAAGCCCAGAAGGCCGCGGCCCGGCTCCGCTGAAGCGGGGAGCAGCAATCGCATCTTGAACGCTCCTCGAAGGGAAAGTGGTCACTCACTTCTTCATTGGTGAGCAGGAATGCGTGGATCGACAGGTGTGTAGATCGACCCACACAATGGAAATATGGCCCATGATGTATACCAAACGACCCATGATGTACATACGTGTCTACCAGAAGAAATATGGCCTCCCATGGTTTCGTTGGATGTGTAGGGTCGATTTCCACAGTGCGACTACTCTTATGACAAGAGACCACAGAACTCCTCTGTTGTCTATTTCCGCGCATTTATTTGCTTGGTTGCAATTTCACGGCTACGGCATTTGTTTCTATCACAATAGCGACTGTGCTTGACCGTCACGCCAGACGACCTGTTTCTTCATCGCCACCCAGGTGACGGCCGGAAGTCCCTTTCGAATGGGGTATTCCTTCAATTATCTCTCTCTTTCTCTGCCTTTCCCTATCTCATGTTTTTGTGTTGACATTATTAGGTCATTAAACTCAAAACTGAGGGCGTCCAGCCCAAGAGCTGTCATCAAGTCTAGTGCCACGTCAAACTCACGCATCGTTCAAGTCAAAATCAAGGGAGGAAGAATGAAGTAACGTATATACTTAATTTATGAAAGAATTTACTTAAAGATGCGCATGATGAAACTTCATGAATAACCGAGGGTTTTGGGGGGATAAGGGTAAGACTAAACGTCCGGCAGGGTCCCCACTTGTCACGAAACTGAGCTGTGCTGCTTCGACCGGGGCTACCCGTGGCCAGGAACAAACCCATGATCAAATGCATTTCTAGCCGAAATGTAACTTTCAAAGACGTGAGGCCTTCGTGAGTGTAAGCAACGGCCAACCAGTGACTTTGAGAGGCTTCGGGCCTTCCATAGCCGATAAAGAGAAGAAAAAAAATGTAGAGCGTACACCTTGGATGTCATGTAATAGTAGTAACTATAATTTTCCAATAACTGAGTGTAATATGCCACTGTCTCACTCTAGGGTCCTCCATTAAGATGCTGCATTTTATGTCCATTAAGGCCATAACTCTCTACGATGGCGTAGGCGGCTGTGGGTAGGGTTGTGGTAGCTGAGGGGTGGATCAGACGTGGTACTTACCCTGCGTCTAAATGGAGACTGCAGGGGGGATTGACTGAACCACCTGGTCATCCTCTGAGCAATGTCACAGCTGACTCATCGGACATGCAAGTTTCCAGTTAACTAGCCCCAGTTGACCGTCACTAGTCACCCCACGACTACGAGTGGAGTATTGAATTCTCGCTATGTCAGGCTGCAGACGTCAACCACGGGTGAAGCGAATCGAGCCTCCTCGGGGCAGTGTAACAAGAGGGCACTCAGTAAATGAATATTTCTCTGTTCGGTTGCGGGATTAACCTTCCCCGCAGAATTCTTGTACTTGCACGAGGATAAAACGCCCTGGTGCAGAACAACGAAGGTGCCCGCGGGCCCCTTATCCTCTGCAGGCAGTTAATACCTCAGCTGGTCAGAGCTCCCCGGATGAAACCCTAACCAGACCGGGCGGCAGTGCTCGCAGGCCCACCGAGATCAGAAGCGCAACCCCGATCTTCTTCGTTCAGAAGGGTTCCATGCCGTCCAGGTCAATCCAGCAGGTAGACGGTGGCCGAGGGTCTGAGCGAATTCAAGGCAGAACGCCTTCTACTTCCATATTTATTGCATTACAGGATCGGTGAGCTTTTACTGAGGGTTTGACAAATCGACCGCACCCTCCAGGAATTGACAACATGGGTTGAACTGCAGAGTCAAACATGCCCAGTGGCCGCAGAAGGCAAGCCCGGGCTTACGGGTATTTACTTCTGACGCGGAGAAGCTAGATTTTCACTCGATGACTTGCCAAGAGATGCACTTTAAACTGGCTCCCTTGCCGGAGACTGGAGTTTTCTCGTGGCAGAGGTTAAAGGTCTGTAAAGAGTATATCGTCTAGGTTTCCTGCCCCTGTCATCGTAGTAAGCCCACATCCCGTTCTCTCTCAGGTTGGAGGAAGCCTACATGGGGAGAGTCCCAGAAAGATGACGAAGGTAAGGAACCCACGGATCCCGTGTTTGATGAAGTTACAATGAGGAAAACATGGCGTATCGATGAAATTTTATTTTCCTTGAAGACGAACAGAATTGGCCCCAAAGAACCGTGTCCATCTACCTCATTGCGCTGGCCTACACACCTTCCCAACTACCATTCCGCGTACTAATGCGCCACTCTAGTAGTTGAATGCAGTAAAGGAGAGCCTAAAAGAGGGAGTGGCAATCCAGCCGGTAACACAGCCTCTACGCCCATGGCCGTGGGCACGCTCTCTAGTTCTCTACGCGGCTGGGGGGCTTTGAATGCACTCCAACAAACCCAGAGGTATTTATTTCTCATCTCGTCAGTTCCAGTGGCGTGTCGGTTCGTAAAAACAACTCACTGCTGGGTGCGTGCCTATAAGTGTAGTCTCCCTGGACTTGGACTCGAAAAAACTGAGACACCCGTTGGAAGAGAGGGCCATGGGTTTCATCGGCGGCGGCGGAAGTTCCAATGGGCAGACCGTTCCAGTGTCTCTTGTCTTGCTGCTCCTCGCTCTCGCGTTTGCTGGCGGGAAGGCCCAGATAGTCCCGGCGGTCATAACCTTCGGCGACTCGTCGGTCGACGTGGGCAACAACAACTACCTGCCCACCTTCTTCAGGGCGGACTTCCCACCCTACGGGAGGGACTTCGTGACCAAGCGGCCGACTGGGAGGTTCTGCAACGGCAAGCTCGCCACGGACATTACCGGTGGGGATTGTTGAAACCTCCTCGCCTGAGTATTTTCTCCGACGTAATCTTGTCCTTCGTCACTTAAAAACCTTGTGCTTGGGAAAAAACTGCAGCTGAGAGTCTGGGTTTCAGCGAGTACCCGGCGGCGTACCTTAGCCCCGAGGCTTCCGGGGAGAAGCTTCTCATAGGAGCTAACTTTGCTTCTGCCGGCTCCGGTTATTATGACCAAACGGCCATCTCTTTTGTAAGTATGAGAGACAACGGATAAACTTTCTGAATAAATATGCTGCATTCATCGGCCTTCATCATCTCTAGTCACTTTCATCACTGGAACTGGCATATTGAATTCTCTCTTGTTTTGGCGGTTGATAACCGAGCTCTTATCAATAAGCGACTTTAAAGACCCTTTCAAACATGGTTGATGTGTGACTCATTGAAGACATGAAAATAAATACTAGGATGACACAATTGTTTGGCTTAATCAATTACGCGTCATTGTTATAAATTTTTCATGAAAAATATTCCCTCTTCTGGATGCGCCTTAAAAAATGTAGCACCTGTACAAAAACATCCTCTAAATATTTTTCATAACGAATGTCCAAGATTTTAATTTGCCCATCAATAGAATATCCATGCATGCGTCTAAATCAGTTCATATGGGCATACTTTGACGACATGGGATCTGTAGCCATGTGCATCGTCTTCCTGATGGGGTACAGCTTAAGGGACGTAGATCTGAATTTAGGTGGTGGTATGCTGTTGTGAGGGAAGATTCTTGTCTTTCTTCCGGTCCCTTTCAATATGCCTGAGATCTGCCTTGCGGCTGCAGCACGCGATTCCCTTGTCCCAGCAGCTGGAGTTTTACAAGGAGTACCAGTCAAAGCTGGCGCCGGTGGCGCGCGAGAACACGTCCACCATTCTATCTGGGGCTCTCTACATCGTGAGCACCGGCAGCAGCGACTTCGTGCAGAACTACTACATCAACCCCTGGCTCAACAAGCTCTACTCCCCCGACGACTACTCCACGTTCCTCGTCGGTCTCTTCTCCAACTTCGTGAAGGTGAGCCCGCCGATCTCTAGGAGCAGAATCCCCTGCCGTCTGCCCTTTGCCGGTGCAATCGCGAACGCCAAAGGGCGTCGTCTTCTTCCCTCGTTAATATCTATGGTAGCCGAGGGAACCCTAATCACATGCTCAGCAGGCTCAGTTCAGAGCCACGGGGACTGTTGCTTTCTTTCGTTGCATGTTTAAAGCCTCCCCCGATCGTCAAGAAAGTCCGCCGGCTGGCTCTACAGCGAGGTGGTGTGGCCCCGCCCGGTGCGACGTTGACGGCCTGGCCATGGGCCATGGAATTTAATGAGACTCACACCCCTGCCCTCCGCATCTACTGCTGCAGCCACGTTGTGCTGGAGACGGAGCTGTCCCCATGCCTCTGGCCATGAGCTGTGCCCACAGAGAGGTCTCTCGATGTGTAGAAAGAAGAGTTAACTAACCTCCCACGCAAGAATCCATTGCACGGTTGCCACAGTAGACCTAGTGGGCGGGCATAATATCTCTGATGGCCTGGCCTGTGCAGGATCTACACGGGCTGGGGGCTCGGAGGATCGGCGTCACGTCCCTGCCGCCGCTCGGGTGCGTCCCCGCCTCCATCACCCTCTTCGGCGGCGGGAGCAACGAATGCGTAGCCAGGCTCAACGCCGACGCTCAAGGCTTCAACCGGAAGCTCTCCGCGGAAGTGCGGTCACTGTCCAAGCATCTATCCAACCTCAAGATCGCGGTGTTCGACATCTACAAGCCCGTCTTCGACCTCGTCCAGAAACCTTCCGATTTTGGTAATCCCGTCCCACAGAACCCAGGCGAGCGCGAGGCCTTCTTTCCGCTGCTGGCGTCTAACGTTCAGAGCTCGTCGGCGCAGGTTTCTTCGAGGCAAGGAAGGGCTGCTGCGGCACAGGAACCGTGGAGACATCGGTGCTGTGCAACCCCAAGTCCCCGGGGACGTGTCGGAACGCCACCGGCTACGTGTTCTTCGACAGCGTCCACCCGTCTGAGTCGGCGAACCGGGTCCTCGCCGACTCCCTCATCACCGAAGGAATCGACCTCGTCACCTGAGTGGACGACCGGAGCTCACAGAGAAAGAAGACCGGCAGCCGTCGTCCTCCCCCTCCCCATCATCCGGACAAAGTGTAGTCTGTGTCATGAAGCCCATTTCGTCAGCGTTGGCAAATAACTCTTGCTTTGTGTGCAGTCGCCGTATAGACTTCAGATAATAAGTCGAACTTAGTTGAATTAATTGGTTTTCTGATGGGCGGATGCTCTTCGATTTCTTGATGCGGCGTCATTAATGCTATAAACATGGGTGATTACAAAAAGTCCCACATTTTTTCATGGCCCTCCGCTTCCATTAATTCTCTTCCTTTCCTCATAATTCTAATAATGGTAATAAACATTGATAATTAAAAAAACACACACACGTCACATCAAGCCATCACTCCCTTCCGTAACGCTTGCCGACCGCCTCTCTCATCAAGGGGTGACATAAATTGCTGACTTAACTACGTGAGAGTAAATAGTTCCCACCATTAATTCGAACCGTCGCTCTGCCCAACATTAATATTAAAAAAATAATGCGTAATAATCGAGCCCCAGGTAATTTCCGAGTCTTATGGACGGAAATTACTGTAATCATGTTCTTGAGAGAAAGACCAGATTCAGATTCAGAGGTTGGAATACTCTTCCATTAGATCGACTTCAGGCTATCGCAGAGCTTACACGATGGTAAACGTGCACAGGGTGCGCTCATGTGCTTCTTCAAACATAGTGGAGGTTGAATAAATAATATGCACTTTGATCTTTGAAAAATCTTCCTGATTATAATACCAGATGAAAAGCACGAGAAAAAATATAGCCCAATGGAATCTGTTTCGACATTTTCCAATAATAATAATAAAAAAGAAATCTTTAAGAACGTCGGCAGAATAAGTGGGCATAATCTTATCATCTACATCTCAGGGAGGTTTGGCAGTCTGGATCCATTGATCTTCATTCGTGGGCTTCTTCGGTACAGATTCGATGACATATATTTCATACTAGAATTGAATCATGGGGAGGAGAAAAGGAAGCAAATGGCTAGCCTTCACTCAGGTTCGGACACACAGGTTACCGGGAGACATGGGCTTTTCACTTTTTGAACTCCCTGCCTTCGTGCGTGGCGGCGGCGCGTGCACAGTGATCGGAAGGACCCAGTCGCCTTTCTCTCTGCTCTCTATCAGCAGAGGATGCTCATACCTGGGGATCAATAAATAAACAATCAGAAACAGGATCACGCAGGGGGCAACTGGTAATCAGGGCGGTGATCTAGTTTTTTTCAGCGGCACTTGAGGAAAATCAGACAATGGTGAGAGGGTGACGCAAAGGCAGGAAGAGGGGAGTCTGCCAGCAAAGAAAAGGTTGCGGAAACTAGGCATGTTTTCATGCCTGAGGTAAGACATGAGATTGTGAATGAGAAAAAGGAGCGAAGATATTGTGGATACAAAGCTTTCATGCATTGAATAACTTCAAGTGGGTATGCTTTCATCAAGTCCCAGAGTCAGAATACAAACCTGCGCCAGTCCACGCTTCTTGGGTTGGTAAAAAATTCAAACCGGAGAGCCCACTGGACAGAAACGTAAGGCGTGGAAAAGGACATGGGTCCGTCCATGGGAATCGAAAAGAGAAAACTAGTTTCCGTCAGATCAGCCACAACGGCATGGTGGTCGCTCTGAACCTGCGATCAAAATTTGAGCGAGTCAGCGCAGAGTGATTCCTGGAGCATATCTAATGAGAGTTCTTCCAATATTTATTAGTAGCGTTTTGTAGAGGAAAGTAGATTTCTCAGTTGGAATTCACCACTTGAACTCTACGTGTAAATTATTATTATTTTTACCCATTTGAATGTGCATAGCATCAGCTTACGCTCTGAGCCCATTTAACATGCACTTTTCCATGAACTCTACTGCACAATATTTCCTCAAGGTCACTCTCATACTCGATGCGGCCAACTTTTTCACGACAGGGCACACTATTAGGCACCCTTATTTTCTTATACACATTTTTTTTTTGTGACGAAAGATGCTCATGGAAACTGCGCCATGGAAAATAGATAGTGACGGTTCCTTATTGAGTCATATTGAGATGAATGATATCATTTCCCTTAAACTTTATAGCACAGAGATATGAGTGATTGAGGCTGAGGAAAATTTATCTCAACAGCAATGTTTTTCTAGTTCTTTCGACACTTGGTAACCAGCACGAACTTCAAACCTTATCTATTCGAGGCTTAAATCATCAAAAAAAAAATAAATCCTTCTGTAAAGTAGTAATATTGGAATAATTACAAGAGCAGGAAGCAGACATATTTGGTAGCATAAATCTAATTGTACTCAAGGATTACCAGGTAATTTTTAACGGAGACAGCTTAATCAAACATATGGTAAGTAAAACTGACAGACGTGCAAACCATAGCGTACACATATTGATGGTAATATAAATGAAGCCGCATCACAGGGGTCAGCCAGTCATATGGTAAATTAAACAGATGGCGGATGTCAGCCAGTCATGCCATCAACTATTGGGATATTAGAAAAAATAGTCACTAAAACATCATACTTTTAGGGAGCCAGTTTATTATCCAGATCATACGATGTCAGATGTTACACACAACAAACGGGAACAAAAAGTGGGAAATGGCAAGAACCTTTGTTATTGTAGGAGAACTCCTGCGTGAAGGATGGACAAATTGTTGGGCGACAGTTTCCAAAGTTTCCAAAGTTATCAAGACCTGTATAATATTATCACAGCCCATAGTTAAGACCAAAATGGGCTGAAAAAAAATAAATTGACTGGATATAGACCAGCCCAGTAATAGGGTAAAGTAAATTCATCACCTCAAGGCACCTTTGAGCTCCTTCATGTAAGAACGTAAGAACGCCACCAATCTATTGGTGAATCGTAAGAAATATTTAGTCCTTTAGAAAAGCTCAGGCATTAAGAAGTAGAAGACCTCTACTTACCGTGTCACCAAAGTAGTAAGCAGCATCAGAGCTCTTAGGAGAAAACCTAAGAAGCACTTGGTCGTCTATCCTGATGTTATAAGATCTTCCTCGAATAAACCCTTCTGCTGCAAAGGATATATTTTCTCTAAATTACCTTGTGCCCAATAATAGAAGATAAACGTAAGACCTTAATGTTACTCAAATGGATTTTCGGGATGAAATGATGTATGATAACTTACATGCTACACCTTCAACAGGTCCGAGGAGTGCCCTTGTGTCATCCTTAGAGAAAGGGGAGCTTGAGAGTTTCCTTTGATGGCTCAACGGGGGAATGCCTGAAATATGGAAAGTTAGTATGGTTTGGTGGGATACTAAAGTTGACATCATAAAACAATTTATCCACCTGAGTTTGATTAACATTAACTTGGAAGGTTGCTCGAGTAAATCCATTATTATAAAATTCAGCAATTTAGAAAATTTGGAGGAACGCTTCATGGGCAATCCAATTCAACATTAGTAAACATAGAGAGAAACTCAGCATGCTAAATGGATTTTTCAAGGTTAAATTCAAGCGGATCTGAGCATATTAGTCAGGAAGGTTCGTCTTCCCAAAAAATAACTTCCATATTCTGACAACATGTTGAAATATAATTTTTAGGGACAATGAAAGACATCAGTAAACCATGCAAACGGGCATTGGCAACCAATCTGCCACATATATTCAAAGGCCGTCCGATGACTGGATATGGGGAAATTCAGGAGGATAAGTTTTAAACAATGATTGTAGAGCTTTCCTACAGGTATTCTACACTAGGAGTATCTTCCTATAGATTAAAGTAGCTATTTGGCAGACAAACAACTAAGACCTGAACTAAATGAGAAATGCATACTCTGTGATGCATGCACCACACCTAAAGATAACCTCTTTGTGAAGTGGGATTATTCAAGTTGTCTCGACCTCCCTACAGAGCAATGTTAGTGTTCCGTGTAAAAGAGACACTGCGTCACGAAGCAGTTCATCTTTTTGGCAAGCAAATAGGCACGGTTCATCTTGCTATGAAGTGAGAAAAAGAAATTGGAAAGGATTAGATAATGCTTTATGAGTGCCCAAGACCACAGAACTACCAATTGCAGGGGAATTGATCAATCTCAGCGAACATGAGGATTTGCAGACAATCACTTGCTTCAAGGAATTAGAAAAGACAATTTCGTATTTAAGTAGGGATGAACTAATCAAACATCTTGCCAGGAAGTAGAAGTGAAAATTTCTCTTGTAATCTGTTATCTTTTCTATCTTGCTTTTATCTGGTGTTTCTCTTTTGGTGGAAATGATTTTCAACCAACCTGATGCAACCAAAGCATGCCTTTTATTAATTTATGGCTTTATCTACCTTCCAAAAAAAATAACAGTAAAGAAACAAGCAGAATGCTCCAAATTATCATAGCAACTAATAAAACGCAATTTCGAATTAAACCAAAACAACTGATTTTATCTTCTAAAGAAACGCCTACCCCTATTGGCATCATCAGTAGTTGTCACTACAGATAGACGAGGAAGTGCCGGATACGAACGTAAATTAGAATTTTCAGCTTCGGAATGTAGACCCTCAGCATAAGGCCTTGATCCAAATGACTGCAAGGACAAAGATGTTCTCAAAGCCGAGTCAAGCCTTCCTTTGTTTGGATTGAATGAAGATACAGATGAAATCTCATCCCTTGAACTATCATAGCCTTCTTCAAATTCGTCTAAGGTTTCAATAGCTCTAACCTGGCACGAAGAAATATAGTCACAGATTAGAAAAAACGAAATTGGCGCTGCCGAGGTCCGAATGATTTTCATAGACTAGCTATTGCAGACTAGATTCAAAAAATCATTAATTAGCCCACATGAATTATACTGAGAAAAAACAAGATCTAACGTGATGTGTGAATTTTAGTGAACTGGGAAGACTTTCAGAATACACCTCACACCTGGATCTTGATTGAAAGTTTTTTAGCAAGTATTCCAGTTTTCTTGCTAAACTATTGGTGTAATCACTCTATTTAGAGAATAAGGAAAAAAAATAGCATTCATTTAGTGACCACTCCATTGAGATTTGAGATATCCGCTTGTACAGTCCTGAAAAAACAATATGAAACAAAAAAGGGACAAGTAAGAAGGGCCACACCCAATATCTATTACAATTAAGGAGTTCTGGAAACAGTGAGTACTTTTGCTAAGATGGTACCTAGACAACCACACAAACCAACATCTAGCCCCATTTTGTGTGGCAAAATGGGACAATATTACAGGCCTCATATTATAGCCTATGTCAGCCCGGTGGCTTTATGGTATGACAATAATTCCTCATCCATCAAGGTTTTTTTTTTCGTTTTTTGTCTTTTTCTTTGATCTCTTCTTCTTTTCCTATTCTTAATATTTTCATAACTACAAAAATATATACAGAATCAGGGTAAGGCAGCTACAGTTGGTCTCTCAGTTGAAATGACATAGAAGTTTCACGACACACACCCACTCTGAGTCCACATCCTTCTCTTTCCAGTATACATCCACCAGTGCAGTTGTCTTCGGAGAAATTCCTGAAAAATCCCAAGAAAATAATTCTTGATGTTCCTCATACCAAAAGAACCTAATGCACAACTAGAAATCATGGGCATTTGAGAACATTTCATGAAATTGAAATAGCTATAAGTTTCCACACTTCAGATACTATAAATCATATATTTAAACACATTCCAGCCTCACAAGTGGACCGTTCAATTCGTATGCGGAATAAATGCTATAAGGTAGGGAATAGGTACACATAATAGACCTTGTTTGGACAAAATTAGAAAAGCAAAAATGACTGTAGAAAGCATCTTCTGTTTTAATTCAGTAATGAAAAATGTTAATATGAACAAGAAACGAATGAAAGCAAACGAGGGCAGAAAGAAAAAAGAAAGATCTCCAACAGCAATACGTATTTATAATAAGACAGCAGAAACACAACAAAAAACAAGATAGAAGAGGCAAAGTTATAGCCCTTCAAAAAACCGTACCAGTACAAAAATGCCTATTTAAGAAATCAAAATGCACACAATAAATCAACATAAGTTTTGGGGATATCCTTCACGTTCGCAAATCAGTAGGTAAACCAGGAAAGTAAACCTATATTTTTTGCCAGTATTGTTCACAAGTCACAACGCATCAACAAAACAGAACCTAACAGTTTCAATAATAATACTGTACCATCACTTTGACTTTCTTCAATTTTCACACCACCAGTCTTCTGTGCCCCCCATATTTGCAATGGCTGACGAGCTTCCTTCATTGGTTGAAGTTACAAATCACGCATGCAAGGGGGGAAAATGAACCAAATCAATTATCAATAGAAGAATAAAACATGGAAATATTTCTTGATATCTAAAACTAGCAGTGTCAGGAGGACAAGTATCTAACATAAATAGTTTTAGCTAAGGTACCAGCTGAATTAAATCATTTCCAGACTGTGCATTGGAATGCCCATTCTCCAAAACCAGCCATCGCCCACATATTGTAGTTTTCACATAGTACATGTAGCGAATGGTTGTTCCCCTGTATGATGGTGGTAAGAACCTTGGTAGTTCTGCTCGTACTTCATCTGCAGGCCAACATAAATACAAACATTTCAACAAAGCAATGACCTTAGCAAAGGAATACCTTAATTACGAAATGACAAAAATCACTAAAAAAATAAAGAAAACAGCCGTAAAGACATGCTATAGAATTTCAAGCATTGTAGGAACATCAAGACCATGAAACTAGGTTGAAAGAAGACAAAAAACTCCAACAGTTTTGTCCCTTCGCTATACTTTTCTAAACAAGACTCATCATTAATGCATCATCTTCCAGTGGAAAAGACCAATCAAAATTTATCAGTAGACCAAGTTTTAATGAAATATCTAAAATAACTAGCTCGTCAAAAAATGGTAAAGTCTCCCTCAACCCATTAACCAAGAGGATGTTTGAACTAGACACAAAAATGGGAAGTCTGCGGTCAAATAAAGTACCATTGGATGAAATGATTCAAAACATCACAGTTCCGATTTTCCTATTTAAAGTTTTAGGAAATTCATATTAATATGGAAAAATTAAGAAGAAATGGCCAGAGAAATCTGCCAATCAGTTACCCAGATGGCAAGCTGATAAGGGAAAAACTACCTTCTGGCTTACACATTTGAACCAGATTAACTCAAAAAAGAGTTTGTGAACAAAAAAAAGACCCTCAATCTCATTTTCTATATAAGATATACCCAAAGAACAACGAGTTAACTTAAGAACCAGCTAACCAACTATCAGCTGAAGGGTACCTCAGACATGTGTCCTCACACAAACCAACTATCAGCTGAAGGGTACTTCAGACATGTTTCCTTACACAAACCAACTATCAGCTAAAGGCTAAATTGACATGTAATGTCTCAAATCTAGAAGATATTTGCAAACTAAAAATATGAAGGTGACGATTGCCCCACACTGTAGGGGTGAGACGCGTTTTTCTTCTTCATGAAACACTGGAATGGAAAATTTTCTCACCATTGAAGTGAATAGGACACATTCATCCCAAATGAACGGAAACTAAAAATGAAAAAAAGGGAAGCAAAAGAAATTATTTTTGAAAGGTCCTAACTTCTAAATTTCAGCTGTTGATGACAATGTTCAAAATCAAGACAGAGCCAGACTCAAAACTGGTGCCCATTTTTCCCCTAAATTATTTTATTCGTATCTCACACCCAGTTAAGCATATTTTGTTGTTCTTATTACCAACAATACTTTTTTCCTTTTTCTTTTCGATTTCATTTTTCCTTATCACTGTGTTATAAAGATATAGTGATGAAGCTACGAAGAAACCCTACTTAAGGGCCCCTTCAAACACTATCCAACATTAAAGAGATTTTTAATACTTTGGACCTCCTTCAAAGACAGTACTAGATTAGAGAAACTGTTAGTATTTACTTGGGGACCCCTTCAAACAATGTACAAGATGACAAAGAATGTCCTAGAAAATCAGAACTGCTAGTCAAACACACCCACCATGTTATAAACTACATTTTATCCAGTTTTTTTCATTAAAAACTGCAAAAAGACCACCGAAGTGATACTTTTTCATGATTTTGTATCCAAATTTGAATAAAAATCACAATTTTTGGCTCATTTTTTTGCGGAGAATCGTCTGCTTCCACCCTGAAAAAGCGGAAAACATCTTCCAAATGTGGAGAAAGAGACATTTAACTAGGTAAAGAAAACCATTATATAGAAAACTTTGCAATCATAATATATTTCTCGATCAGCATGAAGAAGCTAAAACCCAGGGTGGCTGGACAGAAACTCAAGAAAAAAAATAAATTACACCAGATAAACTATCAAGGATATATCGGGTATGCATGTAACAACGCTAACAATCCACAAAAGCCATTTCTGAGAAAAAAAAAAAATTAAGACATGATCAGAAGATACGAAGGAGCGCCAGTTACCATTTCGAGTAGGGCTCTTAAAAAGGAAGAGAAATGTTAAAAAGAATATGGATAGAGACGACTAAAAGAGAAAAAAATTATGATTGTAATATGAGAGTCTCAGACATGTAATTTGACTGCTGACATGCACCGACTCTTCAAATTTTTAAGCTTATTTGATCCACCCTTTGTCTCTTCAATCTCAAATTTGTATTCAACCTTCTCAATGATATTAGAAGAATACAAAAATGAAGATTATTGCCAATTGTCTACGGCATCTTTTTCATGTGTCAAATATATAGGTTATTAGAAGTCACTACCAAATGTCGGGATAAATGAACAAAAGGGTATACTCACATGCTTTAGAACCTCCCTTAGAAATTATGACTTTTGAAACAATTGATGAAGTTGTGCAATCCAGGAAAACGTTTTCACCTGCATGCTTAAAAAGGCAAAAGCGAATCAATAACGATAAATATCTGCAAACATGCCCGTCAGAAGAACAAAGATTGACCTCAAAAACATTATTCCTGTTAGAAAGTAAAGATGACTAACAGCAACGTGTATAAATGAATACATGGTGGCGGAGGAACTAAAAACATAACGAAAATGATCCTCTTTTCCTGAGAGAATATCCCTTCGATTTGTGATTTTTCCAAGTCCAATCAGCATATCCTTTGACGTGTGATTTATTTAAATCCAGTAAAAACACCTTCAGCCACACGTTTTAGTCTCCATTTTTATTAACCTCTCCTGGTAATATTGATATCCAATCACCATAGCTAGTCTCCAGTGAAAATACCCAAAACATTTCATCAGCATTCTTTTATTTTCTGCACGTATCCATATTAAATTCTGAAGCTTTTCTTCGTAGCCCAGTATTACAAAATATTTTAGTACGGAACCCAAGAACAAATCGCAGAAAGGAACTGCAAAAAGACCAGACTAAGTGTTCACGTAGATCATGATGTAATTGAACTGATACATCCCCTCAAATAGAATAGTTGAACGTGTCACCAAAAATTATGAACCAATACAGAATGCCTCCCAGTGGAAATGCCCAACACCTGTGTCATCCATGTCACGAACTTCATGAAGCCATTGAACAACCTAAGCAAAGTTGTCCCCTCGTATTTAGATGGTAGCAACGCATAACGGATGATCTAGCAAACGTAGTCATGTAGCTGTCCTGAGCTGAAATCACCTATGCATCTCATATAAGCTATAAAAACCTCTCAACTAACCAGAAATCACCTTTATAACCCCATTCAAGAATGTTTCCCCGATGCCTCCCTTATAACAGGGCAACAAAGAAACAATGTTTTAAGTACTTATCTCAACCTCATAGGTTAAGTTATCGGGGTGTGCTATAGTGTTTCCAATCTATCATAAAACAACAGGCTCAGCTACCTTCCACGTCATATAAGAAGTTTAACAAATCAGTCATCAGCGAAAACCTAGGTACCAACAAGTTCCTCAGCGAAAAGTACGGAAACCAAAATTAGAATGAGTGGTTAATGAAACATTTCATAAAACTGAATGTTGAAATATGAGAACGAGATTCTTATCTTATATTCGTATAATTAATAAAAAATATATATCATAAAATTAAAAAATGAAATAATTATAAATATTTTAAGTTGATAGTATCTTGCATTCATTAAAAGCCGAAAGAGAAAAAAGGTTATAATGTACAAAAACTTCTTCCGTGAACCCCCTTGTACAAAATATCGTCTACACAACAGTAGTGAAAAGATTATCACAAACAATCCATCCTTAAAATAAAGAAATGTATCTTTTCCCACCACCCATCCCCCACAGCGTGTCATTGCACACACCTTTACTCTCTCACAAGTACCACATGATCATACGCTCAACTTGCTGACTTTGCCTGTTGAAAATCAAAATATTCCTTTGGGTCCATACACACCACAGGATTACAAGCAGGATCGGCCACCAAAGGGGCCCCATGTGAGTAGTTAATATCAGTACCAACGCATCCCAATCTCCCCGGCAATCCTGGGAATATGTTATTGAAGATCTAGTTAACACAGTGGATTCTGTCTTATCTCTGAGAGAATTCAACTGTTTCATCAATACAACATCGCAAATCTTAATCGAATATATTTTAAGACTTTAACTGTCACACTATTTGATGACAACTATTTCAAAAATAACAAAGCTTCCAATGAGATGGATCATGGGGGAAGAGGTGCTAGTACAAGAGAGCGATAGTGAAGATTGGCAGGTCGAAATTGGTGGTAAATAATCAAGGACGATGGCTAAAACACGTGGGGGTCAGTAACAATCTTGTGGTGGTTAGTGGCAGAGTTGGCCAACCGTGATAGTAATCAGCAGTAATTGGTTGTGAAGGATATGCATAGCTATTTTGGCGTGGAACTGGAGGCAATAGTACTGGCTGGAAATGCCAGTCAGAAACAATAATTGATGATAGTATATGTCTGGTGGTAATAGAGAGTAGTGTTTGTGATTGGCAGCACAAGAAAAAAGCAGTAGTGAACAGCAGTGGCCAGTGGCAATAATGGAGTCATAACAAATGATCAACTGAACACTTGAAGAAGGCAAAAAGAGGTCAGTCTTTTCAATATTTCTTGATCTCAAAAGGAATATCATCAATCATAGAAAGAGAAAAGTCTAGAAGCGATGGTGGTTAGAGGTACTCAGTGGTGGAGGGAAGTAATAGTTCATGACAGAAAAATAAAATGATGTGAATGAGTTATAGTTAAGGGTTCTCCCCGAAATGCTTTGAGGCAGTGCAGTTAATTGTAAACCCATGGCTAAAGCAAGGATTCTCATCTATGTAATAGGGAGATGAACTCTTGGGTATAGCCCATATTTCGATAAGAAAACTGTATCTTCTGATTCAGTCATCAGATATTTTAGCATGTCTTTATCAATTTCCCCTAATTAGGCTATAATTTTCTAGTTAAGATAAAGCATGGTCATCAAACGCTTCAAAGACCATGTGGTACCAATTCAGAGCCCAATCCAGGCAGGATTGAACAAGATAGACCCAAGTCCACAGAGATGGGATGCCTGTCATCCTGAAGAAAGAGAAATTAAAACAGCACGGATTGAAGAAGCACCCCTTATCCTGGCTGACTCCACCCAATCCTTAATCAACAAATGTCGAGGAACCCATCGCCCGAAACACTCCCAACAAATATCCCTCGTGGTGTTGAAATACACGGTGATGACCCATGCGTACGAGGTAATACGGTCATAAAAATTCCGAAGAAAAGATCAATCCACTTTTTTTTTTTCCCAGAGTTCTCCAAGAAACCCAAAACTTGTCGCTGCATGAGTAGTGGCAGATCCAAAGAGCAAATGACAAGTCCGACCAAGCGTATAATGAACGATGATGAGTCAAGTAGATCTCCAAGAACGGAGGAAATGCAATACATTACCTCTCTTCTCCTTGGAGCCCGGCAACGGCTTTTGTGTGGCAAACCATTGGGTATCTCGCTTTTCAATGCCTTTGATTTCAAAAGACATGCTGTCCACCATAAACGTAGATAAACCATCGTCAGGACGTGGAGGCTCCCCCTTGGATATCCCATTCGATATCTCGATAGTTGCTACGATCGAATCGCCCGGCCTGTAGACCTCCTTCTCCATCTGCAGCCTAAGAGAAGGAGGGCGACCCCGCTCCGTTGAGGCATCCGCCTTCTTGTCATCGTACGACGAGGAACTTCCACCGCCAAAGAAGGAGAAACTCTGAGAAAGTTTCAGGGGCATCTCCTCAATGCAGAATGCCCATCCACCGCGGCTACCACAGTATCCTCCGTCTCAACGGAAGATTCCCCGCAGGAGAACCATTTCCATTTACGGATCCTAAAAAAAACAAGCCGAATAGGCGCAACCCAAGTTAAAGCCCAGAATTCCTCCTCTCCACCTCGCACTAAAAATTATCGAATTCATGAGCTACGCAGCAGAGATCGAAAGAGGAAAGGATACGCGCAGGAAACCATACACAAGTTCGAGGAATAGAGATCTTCGAAAACTCTAGCTAGACGATCAATCGCGAAAGAAGCTCAAAAAACGGAGAAAGGACGCGAGGAGGCCATCGAATGGAGAAACCCCACCACCAAAGTACGTAGATCCCCAGGAGGATGCTCCCCGTCTACACGCCGACGCCTAGCGAACGCCGATGCAGAGATCGCCGAGAATCGAACGCCGTTTCCTTTCTTTACCGCGATCAGTTAACCAGACTGATTTCTCATCCGCTCTATTTTCCGTGGACCGCTTACACGACAAGCTTAGCTGCGGCTCATCGGCACTAATTCGTATGATTCCGTCGACCCGGCCAGACCCGGGCCCAGGCCCAGGCCTCACCCAGCCAGAAGAGAAGCCTGTAAAAGGGCTCACTCCCAAGGCCCAGTGAGATTGGGCTTGGACCACGATGGCCCATCAAACCTACCCCTCCTATACACCGACCATTTTGAGAGAGAGAGAGAGAGAGAGAGAGAGAGAGAGAGAGAGAGAGCTTTTTATGGCACAAAAAATTCACACCAATGTGACTATTTGATGACGTGCCTCTTGAAATGACATTCACAGTGAAAGCATAAAGAAATCATGGCAGATTTGGCCCTGACATCGCTCACATTGAAGAGCCTGCCTGTAAGAGGACAGAGCATGGAGAGGTTAATGGTTCATGTTCTTCATCAAACAATTGGGTAAGTTTGTGATGAGAAGTGACTGCAAGAGTTAGATCTGCACTTACTAAAAAAAGAGATGGCAGCCTTGAATTATTCGAGGCTGAAAAATGGTGGTGTGGGTTAGTACAAGGAAATATGGCATTTGACATTAGCATGTCATCAAATTTTTCTAAGTCATATTGAGAAATGATGGTAGTACTAACATTCGTCCTATGATACCAAATAAAGAGGAGATGAAGCATGCTATTATGAGAACTTACAATTTAATTCATCTCAAAGTAGTTATTATTAGATAAAATGTTATGTAAATTATCGAAGAACATTTGGTCATCCCAAGAAACTCTAAGTTATATGGGGTAATTATTTCAAAATATGGATATTAATATCATATCATTATAATATAACTAAGCAGTATTTCATTGTGAAATCCCCTTCACCTTTTGATTTAAGATTCTCTAGTCTAGGGATGACCAAGTAGCTCTAGTAAGTTTTGATTGACCTTGAAAGGAATCCAAATAAGCCTAAATTTCATACCTTCCAAAACTAAGTAATTTTACTTAAAAGTAGAAATCATGTTGATTTTTACTTGTCATTGTCTTGAGTTTGGTATAGCTGATAACTTAGATGACTTCTACTTCCCATCTCTAGCAAAGAGACAACCAATGCAGTTGCATCTACGGCTAGCTATAATGACCATTGTTGGAGTTCTTCCCACTTCTTCCATTTTTGCTATCTAAGATATTAAAGTAATTCCTCTATTTGTTTGGTAGGAACTGAGAGATTTATTTTGAGCACACTGCCTTAAAGATGATGGTATTATGTATCGTGCTGAAGAAATATCACGTAATTTTGTAAGGTTTTCTATCTATTTATTCTTTCATATATCTGATTCTCCCTATAGATGTAGGAGGATTTCTCTAAACAACATAAATTCGAGTGCATCATTTCTTTGTACTTTTTAATATATATATATATATATATATAAATCTTGGTATCACTATAACTTTTTCCTTATATTTTTCTCATCCATATTTAAAGGGTAACATATTTTGCAATTTATTTGTGAGTATCAATACTTTTTTATTTTCATAATATTTGGTATTAGAGTTATGTTCATGTTATGTTATTAAGTCTAGTGTTATAAAGATGTTAATGGTAAAATTTGAGATTGCAAAATTTAACAGAAAGATTGACTTTGATTACTGAGAAGAGAGTGAAGTCAATCATTGTAGAATAAAGACTTCACAAAGTTCCTTAGATATAAAAAACGAGTGATGAAGATTGGGATGCATTCGAACTGAAATTAGTTAGTATAGTTAAGTTATGAGGTAACATATAAAATTTTCAAAGTAGATATTGTTATTGAATTTTGGAATATATTCACAATGTTATACACGTCAAAGTATCTTTAAAATAAATTATATTTGAATAAGCACTTATATAAGTTACATATGCATGATGGAAGAAATCTATTTGAGCCTATCCTATTTCAAGAACTGGCTGATGAGCCCTCAAGAACTGGTCTCTCAGGAACCTAGACCATCTCTCTCATGCCCACGGCCTGGTTTATGACTGATCTAGATTTCGTAGGGAGCTAGCTCCGAGAGGGAGATCTCAAGGAGATGGGGAGAGTTCTTGCAAGGCCCAGTAGGCCCATTTGACGGAGTGGGCAACTTGGCCCGGAATAGTCTATGGAGTAGTGGGCCATAACTCATGAATACCCCACGACGTTTTTTCCGTCGGGTAGGTTGGATATTTAATGCTTTTAAAAATAATTAATTTAAATAATCTGTCGTGAGGCTGTTATAAGCTATTATAATTGTAAGTCAACGCTGGAGCCGTCGGTTCTTCTTCTCTAGGGTGGCATGACAGCGGTGCTGACGCCGCCGTCAAGAAAGCAACTCGTTAACTACCTTCCCAATCAGAGCTGTCACGGGAAAACCCTCGTGGGTTTCCCCATCGATCGGTCTCTGATGCGACGTCGGAGAAGTCGTCTTCTTCCTCATTACAGATCGTTCCCTTTCTGTGTCGACTTCTTCGTCTTCTTCGTCGAATTCCTCCACCTCTCCTTCCCTTCCACCTGCTGCGGAAGGGAAGAGGACGAGAAGTGGGTGAGGAGGTGGGAGCGTGGTCCCTTGCAGTGGTCCTCCGCCCGCCCTGTCGGTGGGTTCTGGCTCCCTTGTGTCGTTTCGGTGAAATATTCTGAGGAAGGATGGGGGGCAGGGAACACACCGTGATTCCGTGGAGCCTTCTTCCCCAGAAACCCTAGTTTTCATGGAGCGGCTAGACTGCAGAAGATGTTGGCTTCGCTGTTCTTCACTGCCGCAGAAATGCGATCGATCAGTGGGACGATCCCCACGTTGAGAAGAGCACAGAGGGGTTTGATGGCAGATTTCAAGCCGCATATAGACAAACAGATAGACAGACAGACAAAGGGTCGCTCCTCTGTAGTTTCTCAAGCACTGAATTCGAACTCTTTTCACCCGGGTGGGAATGCCGGACAATTGGCCGGCGCCCCGTTCGAATCATCATCTTCAGATGAGCATTTATGTACACATATAGAACGCTCTCCCATCGCAAGCGATCCCCGGAAGAAGCTTCTGAAGAGCCGGTTTCCGGCGAGCTTCACCTCCGTCTTCATGGATCTGACCGACTGGAAACCCTAAAAGGAAAATAATGTACGGTGGGGAGCGGAAACAGGACACGGAGCAGGAGATCTTGCCGGGATCTTGCTGGCCTCCTTTGATTGAGAGGTCCTTCAGCGTCCCAAGGTCCTCCTCACCATCGAAATCCCGGCCGGATTGCCGCCCCATTCTTCGAAGATGACGATCAGATTCCCCGTCGGGTTCAGCCATGCCCGAGGGACGTGGTACCTGAAAACCAGAGCGAATCATCCGCCATTAGAGAGAATTCTGCAGGAAGCAGGAGTTCCACGAAGATGGGATCTCCTCACCATCTCTGTGAGGCCTCGCCGCAGTTGCTCTGGCACTTCTTCTCGCCGAAGGTGCCGGCATAGCTGCAGCCGCCGCAGGAGCCTTGGGCCTTGTAGGCCGGCCAGTATCGGCCGATGCTCTGCCCGTTTATCCACACCTGGCCCTTCCCCATGGTGCCCATGTCCAAAGCCAGAGGATCGTTGCCGGCCGGCGCATTGAAGAAAGCCTAGAACCCAACACGAAGAACACTCATTCTCTCTGAGAAATCACAGATCACAGGAGAGAGAGTAAGGATCCTTCCTCTGAAACAGACCTTGTACCAGGTGAGCGGCTGCTTCGGACTCGCTCCCCGCCACTCGACGGTAGAAATCCCATTGAGAGAATGTATACCCAGATGTTCACCCTTCAAACCGATCTGCAAGAGGGAGATCTTCAGATCATTCGAAAGAAAGAAAATAAAATAATATCCATATATGTATCAGATTAATGGGAGGAAGTGTTCTCATGGTGAAGGGGGCTGACCGAGTACGTCCATTTCTGCCATGAAAGGTCTCTTCTTCCTTCGTTGAGCCCGTTCAACACCACCGGCCCCAAGACCCCCACATTCCATGTCTCGAAGTGCTCCCCGCCATTCTGAACCAGAGGAAGAAAGGCAGAAAACAGAGCTCGGCGTTAAACTACTTGGATTTCGAAGCATGTGGGCATGAAGAGGACGGAGTGATGACCGACCGGCAGACCGACGGCAACGCTCAGGATCGAGATCTTGTTGCTGCCGGCCCACAGTTTCACGCCTCTGCTAAAAGTCAACTTCGGGCTCTCGATGCTCCCATAAACAGTGCCTGAGGAATCGGAAGTCAAACTCATCGATCTTACACGAGGGACACTAACTATCAGAGGATCAGAGACTTCCAGGGCGATTTCATCAGCCTACCTGCGGGCTGCCCGTTGACAAAAATATGCAGTGAATGGCCCGCTGACATGACGGTTAGGGTTGGATTTTGGCCACTCTTCAAGAACTCCTCACCTGGGTGAATGTCAACGCTGAAACGATAAAAATTACCATTAGATAGAGTTATATAATATTTAATCCAAGCTTCGGAAAAAAGTCAAAGTCTTCGAGCCCAGTAAACTTACTATGTCGTGTACCAGAGGTAGTCTGTCGAGTCCCACGTCATGTTGAGCTGCTCCACTAGTCCAACCTTTGTGAATGATCTATCATCGTCAGAGCTGGTCTCCTCGTTGTACGACTTCCAGTCAAACTCACCTGCCCAGGACATCTTTGCCTGCGCAATCGGAGAACTAACCTGGAACAGGATTAACATCGAAGAAAACATTAGAAATATATACATCATCGTCACAGGAATCTCCAGAAATAAAAGAGAGAAAAACCCAAGATTAAGATCATGTCGTTGCTGGAATCATCAGAAAGAAAAGAGAAAAAAAAACCATATAAAATTCAAGTCAAGCATTAGAAAAATACCCATTACCATCGCTGGAATCATAAAAAATGAGAGAAAACAAAAAGATCAAACGGCAGGAATTAAAATCAGGAGTTTGATCGAAGCGTTCCTCACCCTCGCGGTGTTGAAAACGGCGGTCTTGCAGTCAGGGAGGATGCTGATGGACCAAGGGGGAAGATCATAGTGCAACCCATTAAAAGTTACTTTGGTATACCCTGTAGAGTGAAAGTTGGCAAGGAATGCGGCACAAGCACCGCCACTCGACTTGAATACGTGAGCCTGGATGAATGAACAGGAACAGGTTCAGATCCATCGCCAGGAAGAGATCAAGGACTGATGATTCCAGAGAGGGAGAGAGAGGTGCAGAAGCACGAACCTGCTCATAATTCCCCAGAGCTATTACAGTGGGCCCTCCAGAAATGAGAGCGGGCTCGCACTGTTTGATCGCCTTGTGCAAATCCCTCAGATGACCCCATTTAGGCTGCCTCAATAACCCTACAGATGTGAACAGAAAAACATTTGTTGAATTTTGCACCAAATAAGTAAAAGCCGACTAATTTTCTGTCCAGCGATTAGCTATTTACACACATTTCATCAGTTTTTTTCATAAATTTTCTGAAATCACTATCTTAATGAGGAATCGTTTTCTCTTGTTTATAGCTTAAGCCCATTAATTGTTACATACAATCGGTAAACCAGCAGAGTACAGCTGGTCTGATATATTAACAATATCTAAGTTTTTTCATAGAAAGTGAACGATCCATCATGTAAAATTGGAAAAAAATATCTAAAAAGGTCACTGCTTATGAAGCCAGAATGCCCTGATTCAGTATTTAATGCGCTAGCATAACTAGATAATGGTATCCTTGACCTGATTATAATAAGGTATGAATCATTGAATTCTCTTCTTATTAAAGTATTAAAAATATTTTAGGGTAGACAAGCTTACCATACTCATCAATGGGAGCATCGTAATCATAGCTTGTGGCGATGAAAGGGCCACCAGCTGTCCGGCCAAAGTTGGTTCCACCATGGTACTGGTGAAAGAACACGTCAGTGAGAATTGCAGTTTATAATTTGATCAGAATATCCAGAAAACTTAGGTTCTATGATGAATTATGCGCAAATAAATACAGCTCCACACACTCGACACAATTTATGAACGAAAATTCGGAACAGATATTGCGAAAGAACAAGGAATACCATGTAGTAATTAACAAAGGATCCACCCTTCTGAATGAACCTGGCCACAGCGAAGGCCAGATCCTCAACTGGCCTGTGAGGAACGGGTGATCCAAATGCGGTGAACCTGAAGTTCCAATAGTCAGATGCGGGATCAAGAAAATAAATTACTAGTAGGAGGGAATTTCCAGGAGAAGAAACAAAATTAATTACCAGCCAGACCAAGCTTCAGTCCACATGGTGGGCTTGTAAGCCTTGTTGGGAGAGAAGTAATCACAGTAAAACCCATTGCAGGTGTTTATCTGTCATCAAGAGAAGAAATAGACATCAGGGAGAGCTCGTCCAAGCAAAAAATAATTTCCCATGCAAAAAAAACTATAATTTCCCTCTCCCTCCAATATATATAAAACATTAAAAAATATAGGTAGATATATATATATATATATAGAGAGAGAGAGAGAGAGAGAGGGAGAGGAACGTACAACTGGATCTGGGGCGTCATCTTCTTTGCACATGAGCCAGGGAACGCCAGTGTTGAGGCCGACTGCCATCTTGGCAGCCCAGTTGGCATAAGATCGGGCAGGGGATCCGCCATTGTACTCAAGTGGCCCGTACTCATTCTCAATCTGTAATCGTGAAAAACGCACGCAAAACCCAAGAACAAAGTCAGAAACTTCATTTGACGATCTCTTCCCTGTTTTCTCGCAGAAGAAGCTAGGGATGTCAGCCGTGAGAGAATTGAAAGGCAGAGAAGATAACCTGGGAGAGGATGATAGGACCGCCTTGCCACTCGAAGAGCCCCTCTGACTTCATCATAGACACAATCTTCTCGGTGAATCTCTGCATTGCGGCCTTTTCACCGGAAAAAAGAAAGAGCAAGCGTATGGGATTAGGGAATCCATCGGCTTGTACAAGAATATATCCGTTTTCTGAGCGTCTGTGGATGCTAACCTTGAAGGGTCCATTGTCTGTTCTAAACCTGATGCCGGGAACATATTTCAACCAGACGGGAAATCCCCTGTCGCCCAAAGAGAAAAGAAAGAGAAAGTTGAAAACTTTCATCCAAATAATCTTTCCCACTCGAATCCCTCCGCGGACATTACGGTTTTGGATTCGTTACCCGAAGTTCCACTCGGCGCAGACATATGGGCCAATGCGGAGATTAACATAGAGGCCGGCCTGCTTCACCAGTTTGATGAAGCGAACCAGATCGTATCTCCCTTCGAATTGATACTGCAGCCATAGAAATGAGACCCAGTTTAAACATGAACAGGAGAGGAAACTAGGCCGACGGATTCCAGTCTCCTAGGTACCTTGCCCGGAGAAGGCTCGTGCCCATTCCAAAAGACGTAGGTCTGGATCACATCCAGCCCTCCGTCCTTGGCCTTCTGAATGAGATCCGGCCACATCTGAAACGATTTAAAACAAAAAGGGAGCAGAGAGGAAGAAAAGTTGGATACCCACACGAGAAACAGGCAGATGGGGAACCCACATTCTCAAGGGGAGAGAGATCGAGGTATGAGGAGGGTAGAGTCTTAAAGACGTACCTCAGGGACACTCCTGGGGTAGTGGATAGAGCCGGAGATTAGGATCCTCCGATGCCCATTGATGACGATGGCCTTTTGGTCGTAGGTGACCTTGCCGGCGACCAGGCCGACGATGAGGAGCCAGTATTGAAGCAGCAGCAGGAGAGGAAATCTTCCAGCGAGCCGCATTACCGGCCACGAGCCCATCCCGACCTCCCCCGCTGCCGCAGAAAGCAAACGGGCTTTCTTTTTGTCCGCCTGATCCCTCACCACCCTCTATTTTAAATCCACACAGAACACTGTTCTCTGACAGAAGGCAGAGAGTGACGCAGCGGCGAATCGACAGCAATGAGGAACCAGGAGTGAGGCAGAGCGCAGCCGGAGGAGCGGAAGGAGGAAGCTGCCCCACTCTCCCTCGATCTTCCTTTCCCCAGTGTTCTTATTTCTGTTTTCTTTTTCCGGAAATGGTGGAGATGGAGCGGAATTAATCCGGTAGCCGCGTGTGGCAGCTCTTTCCTGTGGCGACTGAGTCCAGTATAGAGAGAGAGAGAGAGGGTTAAGGGCAGCTAATGTTGTTGTAGAGAGTTAACGTGAGGAGAGAAAGGGAGGAGCTTTAAAGAGCGGCGAGCGGTAGCAGGAGGCGCCGCCCGGCGCCACCACGGCCACGGCGACCACCCAAGTATGACGTGCGACCATTATCCAACCAACCACCATCGCTCCCATAATTTCCGTCCTATAATATATTCCCATAATTTTCGAATTGATGATGTCACCCTCGTCGTACTTCGTTCCCAATGTTTTGGTCAGAGAGTCAAACTACGGTTCCCGTTCCATCCCAAAGTTGAAAGTAAAAAAAAGGCGGGAGAGTAAACTTGCTGCCTGATGTACGGCTCCGTGCTCCCGTTCACACTGCCACGTATACACTGCTCGAGCCGCAAGACTATCCTCCATCTTGCCTACCTTCTCAGATGAGGGAAGCTCGTCTTTATTGCTCCCCACGGGAACGGTACAACTTTTCAGATATAAATGCCACGTCAGCTTTATCCACGTAGACGAGTCAGTCACCAGTGAGCACGCTTTTCTTTTTGTCGTGTTTCGTTTACAGCTTGGCGACGAGCACCCTCTTGGTGGGGCCCGTCGCATGTGGTGTCTCGAGGGGCACCCATAGTGACGGTACTTCGCTCGTCGGTAGTAGCGGCGGCATCACTGCCGCCGCCGTCTCTACCGCCGTGTGGCGGCCGCGCAACCGGTTCGCTTTAATGCGCGCACGCCGGGGGACCGTCGTTTCCCCGCCCGGCGGCGGCTCGCCCCACCGCGCGCGGCCCCATTTAAGAGCAGCGACCGCACCTTTGCCGGGGAGTGGCTTCCGCAGTAACTACTCTTACCCGCCCGGTTACAGGCGTCGCGTGGAGGCTCTCCTCTTTAATCTCCAGTGCAAGCGACGGCGACCGGGGACCTACCCACCACGCTAACTTCATTTGGCTGCCGCCGAGGGCGGCTGAAAGGGACCGGTGGCGATGCCTTGCCGGCCCGGTGGAGGGATCTTTTCCGGTGGGGGCTCGCCGGCCCTGGGTTTGGTTTATTCACGATGGAGAGTAAGCGGCGGCTTCCCCGCTCGACTGAAGCTTCCTACCGGCCCAGGTCGTCTTCATCCTGGTAGCGTCAAAGGGCAGCCTTGCTTTCTGTCGCCATTCGTAAGCTGCCGGAAAGCCGGATGGATCACAGGGAGATCGTCTCCAGCACACTACTACGTTATCTAGAGGAGGCTGACGGCTGGGTCTTGGTTATCGAGCTCGAGCTTGCACTCGTCGGGCTTCCTCGCCGCCGCCGGATGTCAGCCCAGTGCGACTCTGAGCGGCGAAGACGCCGCCGTGGTATATCCATCTGAGCATGAACGGAAGTGTAGGATTAACCTTCTTCAATTATCAGCTCATCCCGGGATTGTGGGCTAGCGTAGAAGAGTTTAATGTGTGCGGCAAAGTGTCCTCCACCGTCGATTTTATGATTCAAGTTTAATTCAACGCCGTCCGGAGCTAGATTGGTCCGTAGCTCGTACACTGGAGCCCACCGACTTTACCAGCCATATTTAGAGGAATCAAAGTTGATGGCCACCACGAAGAACGAGATGGACGCAAGGCCAACCGACGGATCTCCCCTTCTTCCGCAATGGCGCAGAGAGCCATTAGAGTAACGTAGTGCTTATCGTGCGTGCATGTTGTTCTCATTCAATGCGGAGAGCCGTCTTCGTCCCTCATAAGCATCTGCCCCCACACTCGCTCGGCAGTCATTGCTGATCTTGGGGTGCATGGTCCCCCTCGCAGTTCCTTTCTCCATGGGCTCTCTCGTTCACCAACGAGCCCACATGCACGCATATTTTACGAATATGATGTGAATAATCTAGCACGATATTAATGCATGGGCTGTTAGTTACTTGTTTAGTAAACGAAAATCTATTTAAATATTTTCAGAGTGGAAAAATAATGTGCTATGATGATAATGATGATGCGTAGACTCTACTCCAACAACCCTCCCATCACCATTGAAATTATACATTAAATTATCTCCCTCCTAATAAAAAAGCCCACGGCACACATGTGAGACGACTTGCCAACACATTCTCGTTCATTAGGCATCCCCACACAGTACAGAGCGAAGCAGTTCGTTAATAAAAGATGCGAAATGCGGGCCATTTTCTTACTCTTTGACCCGACGAGAGTGGAACCCATCGTCGTCAAGAAAGAATGGTAACCGGCATCATTCGTGTATAAAATAGCAAAATAACTCTCAATTCTATGGGAAAGCTATAGTTTCGAAATCGAATCATGGATAGGAGGTATAATCTTCGCCGAAGCAAGCTCTACTTTAGGGAATCCTATGCTTTATGCCTACACTATGCATATACAATAATAATCGGAAGGCTGGCCCAGCAGCCTACCCGGTCTTTCCTGTCCCCCATGCCAGCATCCTCAAGGAGCCGTCGGCCGCTTTACAACGCCCAGATGCAGATAAGACGAAACGGACGGCACAGCCGGCCATTCACCACTATCTATCCTCAGCGAATGCCTGATATTCAAGTCACGTTGGTCAAGATATCATATCGTCCTCGTCATCACCATGCGTACATTTTGATTCTCGAGAGCAACCTCCTTCCTTAAACACCCATTCATCTCTGTATCCTGCTCTGCTCACTTTGATCCCATAATTCGAGATACGTGCCCAGTGCCTTTACTTCAACTCTCTTCTTTGTCCTGTCATCACTTTGCGTCACTCATGACGTGCGTTTCTTCTCTCTCTCTCTCTCTCTCTCTCTCTCTCTCTCGATCTCCATGGCCTGCATGGAATGCGTCACTGCTCAGTGGTAGACTTACCAGACATTTCGCTATTGAGCATGACTATCAAAAAATGACCAGACAAACGTTGATCGTTGAGTCTTAGGGATTTAATGTCCACCTTAACACTAATTAAAGCAAGTATTTTTTCCCCCGTCCGGTGGGTAATACTAACCCAAAATCGTTGGGCTTTCGCTGTCGAGCTCTCCGGATCATTCTGAGAGAGCAATCGGATCACGTCGTCCTATATCTGCATAAAGTATAGTTTCTTCAGCCGAAGGGCAGGCTCTTCATCTGTGCCTGCATTATTGAAGCGAACGGGGTTCCATGAAAACAGAATCGGTGTAGGGATAGGAACCCCGCCGTCGATATCCCCATTCTCAGTGGAGCAGAGCTTATTTGATTTTATTTTATTCATCTATGTTGAGCGTTCTTCACGAACCCATGCATCGCACTCAAAGGTCTATCCTCGATCAGATTAGATCGCCCGTTGTTCCGTGTCACCTGACCAGTCGGCGTTGTCCGATCCTCGAGCGAAGCGGTGGATGCGAACCCTACTGTTCTCCGTTCGGATAAGGCCCCTATCTATCGTTTCAATGGCCCCTTATAGAGTGCCTACGCTCGTCTCTTTGGATAAGGCCGTTCAATATCGTCTCAATCCTTCCTTCTCAGAAACTGCCTTCGTCCTCTGCTGACCTCTGTTCTCTACGGAGATCAAATGTGAATTTGCGTGCAATGCTCATAAAAGAATCTTTTATTGGGAAACCTTTCGTCCCCGTTGGAGGGCAAGCGATGTTTTCGTTGTTGGACCCCAGTTAGCCGTTAATTGTCACCGACTAGTGTCGGTGATGGCGACTGAACGGGCCAGGAAGGCTATGCTTTCGAAGACGGACGGATTGAGAGTGCACTTATTATTTTTACAAGTGGAGGAGCTTGAGATTATTTCCAATTCTACGCTGATCCTGACATGGCTTCCTTTCTTTCTTTACCCTAGTAGAGGAGGAAAAAACAAGTATAGAATTAACAAATATGAACCAATGAAGAGAAGAGAGAGAGAGAGAGAGAGAGAGAGAGAGAGAGAGAGAGAGAGAGAGAGAGAGAGAGAGAGAGATTTTCTCCAATAGTGTCGGAATAACATTAGATTGGTTGAGAGTAACTCATTTTGAATAGTATGCACACCACCTTGCCTTTTAAGTTAGTAAGCATGTGACAGGGCACAAGTTCAAATTCCTCATTGAGATAGGTTGAGCGTGATATCCAAATAAATCGAATTACTCCAGTCATTATCCATGAAAAACACCAACTTAAAATTTTTTTAGCACTTGATTGGTTAATTTTCCGTTAATAAATTATTTAAATATAATTCAATTTTAGCGATCAATTGTCTAAGTAATCAAATGTCTTTTGATTGGTTTTGGGTCCTCCCCATGGTCTTGATTGGTTGATTCCCAATAGTATTGCACTCATTTAAATTTCAGTGGTTGAACTGAGTTGCATATGAAAAAACCATATTATCAATAATTATTATTTCCATTATTTCATTATAATTCCTCACATTCAACAGCATTGGCATCACAATCAATGAAAATGGCTTTTAGTGGACGGAATTATTTACCCAACATCTTTTTGTTGAAGCCAAATATTAATATTGGCTTAAGCCTATGTTAAGTGAAGGAAACTCAAAATTTAAGTGAAAAACTATCAACAATGACCTTATCCTTAAATTTTTAAATATTAATTATTATAATTGTGACACAGTGACAAATAACATTTATTCCACCATTGGAAGCATAAAGTAAGCGATATTGTAAGAAAGGCCATTTTATCATAAGAACCCAAAACTCCATGACTAAAACATTCTAGCAAAGCACAATAAGACAATGATATGTACAAGCATCATTAATAAAGGATATATTTCTATTTAGGTCATCATCACAAAAATGGACCTATGAGATGTAAAGATTGTAAAGTAAGTGATAGAGATAATATGCAGAATATTCTAAGGTTGAGAGATCTTGGACATAGATCACCACCCCATGATAGAGTTTTGTGTCATTCTCCCTGATGATTGTATGCATGATGGCGCAAAGTGTACAATGTGATCAAAGTGATGAGATGCAGTCTTGACTATCCAAACTAATCTTTAATTCCAAACCCCTTATTTAAATGATTTCCCAACACATCGATTCTCTTTCTTGTGAAATTGATAGCCTAGAGTAATTTAAAAAAATGATAATTTCTATATTTCATAAATTTATTAATTGTGCCTCTCTCTCTCTCTCTCTCTCTCTCTCTCTCTCTCTCTCTCTCTCTATCAATTTATTGTGTATAAATGTGATTCATCAGTGGAAATTAGATAAAATCGACGTCCCCATCAGTGGGAAAATTAGAATGCTATCTATGGGGCCTTTGACAATGAATTGCTAAATGTAATTCATCAGTGGGAACTAGATAAATTAGAATGCATACATCAAGCATTTACAAGCATATGGGCATCTGGAAAACATCCTAATGGGCCCTAATTATGAAATAGACCCACCTCGACCTCAATGGGCAAGTTCTCAGATCGATTCCTAACCAAAAGAAATCCAAACAGGCCAACACGAATCCATACCCAACCCACATTGACTTCGGATCCGAGATCACCGGACGGCGAATCGTACCCGTTGCCGCCTACCCACGACGTCGGACCCAACTACTACGTGGAGACTAGTAACTGGCCTTTACATCCTCCATGGTGATTCTCGAACCAGGTATCCAGCCCATTGGGCTACTCCTTGGCTACCCTTCTTTTTAGACGGGCCCACAATCAGCTCAACAATAGGTTCCCCCAAATCACCTCGTGACCAGTAGTGCAAACTCCGTCCGGGCCCATGAGCCAGATCGGATCCATGCCAGCCCATTTTCATGTAAAATGGGCCGGGCTGGATCCTACTTGCAGGCATAGATAATTCCTTCGTCCACTCCTTTACGACTCACTTTCCTCTCTCTCTCTCTCTCTCTCTCTCTCTGCCCAGATCGGATCAAGCCCGGCCCATTTTCATGTTAAAGGCGTATGCCTTGAGGCCAACTTGCAGGCATAGATAATTCCTTCATCTACTCCTTTCTGACTCACTTTCCTCAGTCTTCTCTCTCTCTCTCTCTCTCTCTCTCTCTCTCTATCAGCCCAAATCGGATGAGCCCAACCCATTTTCATGTAAAAGGCGTATGCCTTCAGGCGCCCTACTTTCATTATATGTCTACTCCTTTCCGATTACTTTCCTCAGTCTGCTCTCTCTCTCTCTCTCTCTCTCTCTTCTCAGGCAAAGCTTTTTCGGGGTGGAAGATGGCGGCGAGCAACACTATCACGGCACTGGTTAGCCTGGTGGCGCTGCTGTGCTCCATCCCCGTCATAGGGGCGGGGTTATGGCTGGCCACCAAGCACGGCAGCGAGTGCGTCCCCCTTGTTCGGTGGCCGGTGGTCATAATGGGGATCGTCCTCCTCCTCGTCTCCCTCGCCGGCTTCGTCGGCGCCTACTGGCGGCGGCAGCGCCTCGTCGCCGCCTACCTCCTCGCCATGGCCGCCCTCATCGTCCTCCTCTTCGTCCTCCTAACCTTCGTCTTCGTCGTCACCCGACCCGACGGCTCCTACGCCGTCCCCGGCAGGGCCTTCAAGGAGTACCGTCTCGCCGGCTTCTCCCCCTGGCTGAGGGATCATATCATCTCTTCCCCTCACTGGAGCCAGATCCGCCGCTGCGTCAGCGCCTCCAACGTCTGTACCAAGCTCTCCCAGGAGCAGTACTTCAACCCCGATCATTTCTTCCAGGCGGACCTCTCCCCCCTGCAGGCAACTTTCTCTCTCTCTCTCTCTCTCTCTCTCTCTCTGTGCAGTAGAATATTACTGAACCCTAGTGGGCAGTATTGCATCACCTTTTTCGGCGCCGACCCACATCCGGATTCCGGCACCATCCCCGGAGGCGACTCCTCCGGCGGGGTTTACATTGTCTTTTCCTGAACCCGCGAACTGTCGGTGTGGGTGCAGTCGGGATGCTGTAAGCCGCCGACGGCGTGCGGGTACGGCTACGTGAACCCGACGTTGTGGATAAACCCGGCGAGCCCGGCGGCGGACGGGGACTGCTACGCCTGGAGCAACGACCAGGCCCAGCTCTGCTACGGCTGCGGTTCCTGTCGGGCCGGCCTGCTGGGGAGCCTCAGGTCGGAGTGGAGGAAGGCCAGCATCGTGCTTGTCGCCACCGCCGTCGCCCTGCTATGCGTGTACGTTGCCGCCTGCAGCGCCTTCAGGAACGCCCAGACGGAGGACCTCCACCGGCGCTACAAGCAGGGCTATGTGTAGCATCAATTCCTCGTTGAGAAGAGCCAGAACCCACCCCTTTAACGACCTCTCTGGTCTCTATGTCCCGGGCTGACCCGTTCAAACTCGGGATGAACATTCTCTAGGTTGAATGAACCAAATATTTGCAGCATAGATTTTATTCGTGATCCCAACCTAACCTTCTTGACTCGGAGGGTCTGGTCAATGAGAGTTCCTCTATTGCATAATATAAAATATGACTTCTATATTAGGATCATAACTCATCATATAGAGCCATAGGGCATGTGAATCTAATCAGATAACTGATATATGATTAAGGGTCTAATCCATCAAATGACGTCATCATTATGAGTAGAACACTACAGGTTATGGGAGAATACTTATTCGAGTCAACCATGTGTTGTGTGTGCCCGTTGTTCTGTGCACACACCCTGTGCTGCGCATGCCCGATGTTCCACATGTGCTCACCTTGTCGCACATATTTGCCATGTCATATGCGTCTTTCGTGTCATGTCATGCACGCCAGTCATGTTGACCGTCAATTGTGAGATTTTATCCATAGAATCTAATCTCGCCTTATTAGTGTTATGACATTTTCTTCGTCTTTTAAGTTATGACATCCTTGTTGAAAGCTAATTTTCTTAACATTGTAAGAGAAAGTCTCCAAAGTGCCAAGAATTAATATTTTTTTATCATTTCATGTCTTTTTTTAGCCAATCTCTCACTTGATGAGGAAGAAGATTTGATGGTGATAATGGTTTCCTCATCTTCCTTTGAATAACCTGGTGGTTTAACATTACTTTGTCATGTCAATATAGTGAACTTTAATAATTGGTGGAGACATCTGAATTATTGTGATATAATTTGAGTTAATAAATATGAAATACAAGGAGTATCTCTAATCGTTGTAGTTGCAAGTGTATGGTCAATTGTCCAACTCTCAACATCATTACTAATAGTCCATTGTATTGTACCACTAATACAAGGAGTTAGTTACGTAATATGTTACATTTGATTATTTATTTGTGAATGAAAAATAGTAAAAAATTGGGCAAGTAAGTTATCAACGAATTTTGGTAAATATCATAGGCAAATTGAGCAATGTCAAGTAAATTAATCTAATTTTCTTAATAATATGACATACATTATCACACATATTTTTCAAGTCGTTTAAATTTCTTTTTATCATCTATTTATGAATGAAAAATAGTTAAGAAATTCAATTGTGAGCCAAGAAGAGAGAAAAATATTAACATAATCTTCTAATGAAATGAGAATTTCTAAAATGATATTTTTCTCATATCTCATAATTTTATGATATGAGTCAAAAAGAGAAATATATTTGTGAAATAGATGAAATATAGCTACTATAAGTTCAAACGGGTTTAGATGAAATGTAAAGATGGGGGGAGGTGGGGTGAATTAGGTTTCTATGGATTCTCTCACAGCTCTCTCTCTCTCAATGTAGGTTCTCTCTTTTTATATTGATTTACCTCTCACCTGGCTACTTTCTCCTGGAAGATTTTTCATGTTGAAGTTTATTATTTACATATGAAAGATAACTGACTTTCATGGGATCAACTAGCAAATCACACAAATTTTGTCTCCTTAGAAACCTCACCCTTCAAGGCTCAATCAGGCTATTAGCACCTAGTGTTTTTTTTTCAAATATCTCCCCCTACCACTCAAATATCTTAGGGATTGATGAAGAGTGTCAGCCTTTGAGATGGATGTTGCTTGAATCACCAAAGTCAAATAAAGGTCAAATGTAGAGTTTTATACTTCATTGAAGCTCATGGTAATTAAATTTTAAGAGAGATACATATTAATGGTTGGAGAGATTTATATTATCTTCTCACACATTCTACTGTGGTCCTTGCTCTCTAGTCATATTTTTTTCATTTTGAAAAGTGGTAAAACAATTGTAATTTTTTTTATCATTGTTCAGAATATGCAGCAATAACCTTTGTCTTTTTTGTGGTTTAAAATTATCTATTTTCTTGTTCATTTGACTTGAAATTTAAATTGGAGATTTGTTTATTTTCAAGAAATAATATTATTATTGAGGAGTCCATATAAACACATTTCATATGTCATTGTCTTCATGTAAACTACCAACATGTCATTGTCCAAATTCAAGGTTTAAGACTCACATGCAACTTTAATATTTCATGAATTTCTAAATACTTTATCATGTGAGTTGACATTAAACTTCTTGTACTTCTGTATGGTATTTAGGATGGTGTATTTCGAGGTTAGTTTCAACATAGATGGAAAATTAATTAATCTTACAAATTAACTCATTGGATTTACTTGTTAGTCCTTAGATCAAAAGATCATTAAACATCATACATATTAAATAATCCTAGAAATATTGAACATTTATTACAAAATCATATCATGTATAAAAAATTAATAAATATCATTTTATATTACAAAATTGATGTGACTTAGTCATTGTATATTAAATCATGTAAATTAAAATTTTATAGAACTAAAAACACTCATTTTTAGATCTTTAGAAATACTTTTTGAAAAATATATCAATTTTAAATCAGAAAATAATTCAAAAAATAGTAAGAAATTTTCAAGTCGATCATAAGATAATATCAAGTAAATTTTCAGATTTTTTATCAAATAATATGATTTTATACTTTTAGACCATAGATCATAAGAAAATTATATTTAAAATTAGAAAAAAGGAAATTTTGGATGGTGACGTTAGGCAAACGTCAACACCTGCTAGAACAATGATTTGGGCAAAAATATAGTTTTGTTTGGAGATTATTGTGAAAGTGATTTCGAAAGATTTGATTGATGAAATCAAAATATGTAAATGTCAAATGAATCATATTTGACTAAAAATGAGTTTTGAAACTTAAATTCAAGTAAAATTATCATTAATTTAAATATTAAATGAGTTTAATCAACGTAAATAAAGTTCTACCATCACAACAACAATTGTCAAAATTTTGTAGGTTTGAAAAGTTTTCAAGGGGTGTCCCAAAGGCTCTCCTTTGATGTACATGACATAAGCACCCTCTAGATTCTCCTAGAAGTCTAGAAGGCAAAGAATGATGATGATCAAGTGTCTCTAGTGGTTGTTACTTGCAAAACAAAAGTTGATGAAAATAGTTATTCAATGGTTGTCAATCAACAAAGCTGAGATTGATGGAGGTAGAGGGAGCTTCTTCTTTAAGTTTGCATAACAAGAGAATGCTCTTATTGTAAATGGAACACTATGAAGAGACCACGACAAGTCTCTTGGTAGATATATTTGTTCTTGACAACAACTCATTCGTTGACCAATAGGGAATGATCTTTCTTCATAAAGTCACAGTTTTTCTATCCAAATTCCTTAGTCACATGCAACCAAAGATATTTCTTTTTCGTTGATGAAGTTTTCATCGACAATCCATCATCTTCAAGAGCTCTTTTCGTTGACTATTTTCTTGTAGAAAAATTGCACAGTCAAAATAAGAAGATTTTTTTTTTTGGCTTTGGTGATCTTCAAACTTTTGCTAGTCACCTAACTACATAAATGAAGTTAATAAAATCTCATTATACCCTTAAAATAGTGAAAACATGAGTGTACTACCTTCTTTGTATGTAAGGATATTTTTTATATTAATTCAGTTGACGAGAGTTGCTGACAGTTTAATCCCACGTCAGTTGCTTCAATGAGTTTTAGATCTATATAACTTTCTGCTATCTTATGTATTTGATTTATTCCCTCATAAACCAAATGGTCATGACCACTTGGAGAGAAGTGTAAATAGGTGGTATACCCCCATGCACACATGTTACGAAATCATACCTTACCTCACACACTACATCAACCCTCAACAACATGGAAGATGAGTGATGCAGATGCGCTCTATGTGGGTTCCTCGAACCACTTGAGTTCAGCTCGTGATTTCTCCCCATTTGAGTCCATCCACTCAAGCAGTCCTCTAACTAGAGGGTTGACTGTCAAGCATTGGTTGGCCAAAAGTTTCCCCCCCTTTTAATATATTTTTTAATTTTATTTTTCTCTATTTTAACTTAAAAACATAGATATAAAAATCATATAAAATTACATAATTAATTATAAATTACCATTAGTCATATAAAAATTATTTTTCTCGATTTAAGATAAATATAAGAATATTTATTATGAGTTAGTACATAAAACATATCATTAACTAATTATTAACACATTATAATTACTTATTAAATATCAATACAAAAGGCATCAATGATCTCACCCTTTTTATACTTGCAAAACCTATTTGAGAAAAATTATTTATATATTAATATATATACAAAAAGATATGATTTATGTTATTTTAATCTACACAATCAACACATAAAATTCGTATTAACACAAATAAATAATACTATTTCAAGAAAAATGTTCGAATATTCAATGTTTTTGTTGAATATTTCGACAACGAGAATGATATCAAGAAAAGTGAGAAGTTGAGATGAAGAATTTGAGGTGGAAAATGGGAGATTAAGTCACTAGTCATCAGTATAAATGTAATTCATTCTATGAAAAATAGATTTGACAATGTTATCATGAAGATAATAATTAATTAATCTTCCTTCAATGTATCAATATAAAAATGTTGAAGAATTCTTGTAATGATGATGCCAAGAGGTAGAATAAGATCGTAATTGAGAGATATTATCATGTTATCTAAAAATAATACACCACAATTAAGTGAAATGTGTTCTACAATGTAATACAAAATAGAAATAGATTTGTTAAAGATCCTATCATAAGCACCACTTCTATGCCATAGAAGGTGACGTATCAAAAATACATAACTCAATGAGATACGGGGAGTTGAAATGACTCTGTGTTTTGCATAGTTACATTCTACATTCTAGTCAATATTGCTAAAAAAGTGTTGAGTGTATTCTTATCAACATTAAGAGAAAGATTAGAGGGTAGATCAAGAATGAAATTAAGTACATTAGGATTAAGTTTAATAAGAGCTCATTTGACTATAGAATAACTTCAATTTTTTTAGATA